CTCTGGCACCGCCGTGTGATGATTGGTTCCCGTAGCCATAGAAGATTGTTAGTCAAATTGTAATGACTATGATAAGTAGAGCTGGTTTGGCTCCCCATGTAAACTTTGATTCAGTCTGTAGGGGGCGCTAATGGGCCAATTTCAAATATTTCACTTTCACCTGACCTAAACCCTGGAGTTGAACAATGGATTCAAGTTTAATGCAAATCAGACTTTGTTTGTCTAAACGGGAAAAAAATTAATGTTGTCAAAAACGGCAAAAAAACCCTCACATTTTGCTGCTCCGCTGCTCAAACAACGTTTCACTGATCAAAATTCCCTGAAGTAATTTTGAAGGTAAATGTGTTGAGATGATTTGGAACAATTTTGAGGCCAATCGGTGAAACGGCGGAGGAAGAGTCGCTTACCAACCGACGTGTATGAAAATGATTGGTTTTCATTTTTCCATTTTGCAATGAAATTTATGGGCTTCCTGTTTGTCAGAGGGCTTAGCCATAATTACATTTTTTCCATGACTTGACTTGAGGAACATGTGTTCCAAATTACATGGTTCTATGACAATTTTGACCTCAAACTCCTCCCAGAGGCATTTTTAAATTGGCTGTTGTAGGTGGCGCTATAGAGCCAATTTCTAAATTTTAAATTTCAAATGACCTAGACCCAAGAGTTGATCCATGGATTCAAGTTTTGTGCAAATCAGACTTTGTTTGTGCAAACGGAAGCAATTTTTCTATCGTCAAAAACTGAAAAAAAATACGCCACTTTTTGGCGCTCTGCTGCTCGAAAAATGTTTCACTGATCAAAATTCCCTGAAGTCATTTTGATGGTACATGTGTTGAGATGATGTGGAGCGATTTTGAGGCAAATCGGTGAAACGGCCGTGGCTGGTTTGATGTTTGTGTGAGGTGTACATTTGCAAAGAATGGGGAGCGTTTCTCGTCGCCACGGCAACAGGGTAAAAAATAAGCCTTGGACCCAATTGACTTTTTGAATCAAGAGGGCAAAACAGATTTATGTGCAAAATTTCAAACATTTTGAAAAAACTAAATTTGAAAATGCCCATCTAAAACTTTGAAATAGTCTGTAGGGGGCGCTAATGTGTCAATTTGAATTAATTCACTTTCAAATGACCTAGACCCTAGAGTTCAACAATGTATTAAAGTTTTGTACAAATCAGACTTTGTTTGTTCAAACGGGAGCAAATTTAATGTTGTCAAAAACGGCCAAAAAAAGGTCACATTTTGCCGCTCCGCTGCTCAAACAATGTTTCACTGATCAAAAATCCCTGAAGTCATTTTGAAGGTACATGTGTTGAGATGATGTGGAGCGATTTTGAGGCGAATCGGTGAAACGGCCGAGGAGGAGTCGCTTTCCAACCGACATGTATGAAAACTTTTGCTGTTCATTTTTCCATTTTGCAGTGAAATTTATGGGCTTCCTGTTTGTCAGAGGGCGGGGCCATAATAATATTTTTTTCTTGTCTTGACTTGAGGAACATGTGTACCAAATCTCATTTTTCTACGACAAACTTGACCTCCGAAAAGTCCCATAGGGGTATTATTTTGGCTGTTGTAGGTGGCGCTGTTCTGTCATTTTTTGAGTCCCATAAAAATAAACACCAAAATATCAAATTTTTCGCCAGGTCTGATTTTTGGGCCAAAATTAACAACTTTTCATGCATGTTCAGGGGGTCAAATTAAGGCTCAAAGTGCAGAAGAAAAAAGAAAGAAAGAAAGAAAGAAATAAATAAATAAATAAATAAAAAAGGAATTTTTTTGTTAACGTCTCGAGCAAAAACAATATAGGTTTCAATGGCACGTGATACATCATTTTAAAGCGTTTGAGTTTACGCACGCAACCGTCACATTTTGGTGAGTGACGGGCGCTGACGCGTCCGTCACGCACCGCCACCATTTGTTTTCACCATTGTGAAAGCAATAGGCCCTTACCCCGTTCGGGGCTCGGGCCTAATAAATAAATAAAAAAGGAATTTTTTTGTTAACGTCTCGAGCAAAAACAATATAGGTTTCAATGGCACCTGATACATCATTTTAAAGCTTTTGAGTTTACGCACGCAACCGTCACGTTTTGGTGAGTGACGGGCGCTGACGCGTCCGTCACGCACCGCCACCATTTGTTTTCACCATTGTGAAAGCAATAGGCCCTTACCCCGTTCGGGGCTCGGGCCTAAAAAAGGAATTTTTTTTTTAACGTCTCGAGCAAAAACAATATAGGTTTCAATGGCATGTGATACATCATTTTAAAGCTTTTGAGTTTACGCACGCAACTGTCACATTTTGGTGAGTGACGGGCGCTGACGCGTCCGTCACGCACCGCCACCATTTGTTTTCACCATTGTGAAAGCAATAGGCCCTTACCCCGTTCGGGGCTCGGGCCTAAATAAGCGTACATGTTTACAGCAGACTATTGTACCAGTGACGCCACAGTTCAGACTGATACCATGTGGCACTGAGTCTATATATATATATATATATATATATATATATATATATATATATATATATATATTTCTGAGAATGAGACGAATGTCTGATTCTAAAAACACGTTATTCTTGATCTATATCTGTTGTTTATTGAAGGATTAACCATTGGTCTACACTGCCCTCTACTGGCGAAGCTGCAGATTACAACTGGATTTAAGTTCAGCACTCATTAAGTTATTAAAATGATCAGAAATATAATTATTATTAGTATTATTATTATTGGAGGTTCATTAACACATCACTCTAATGGTACACTTTATATTCAACCATCACATCACAGATATTTAGGCTAAAAGGGAGAAACAAAATGTCAAAAAACTGTCAACAGGTACTTCAGGTACTTGAAGTAACTGAAGTACCTAAAACCCTGACTCTAAAACAGTTTCGGTCTCTAGTTTCACGTCATGCATTTGTGATGTCACATCTTTGGATCAAAGAGACCTCTGAACAGCAGGTGCCACAGTGGGGCAGCTGCTGCTGTTGTGTCCTGAAGCAAGACACTTCCCCCACATTAGAATGAGTCTGGTGTGTGTGTGAATGGTTGGTGGTGGCTTCTGTCAGTCTGCCCCAGGGCAGCTGTGGCTACAGTAGTTTCTCACCTGTGTACGGAGAGAGAGAATGATTCTGTTATTATCAGTAAGATGAAGACTGCAGGCTGAGGAGGATTTTACACATTTAACTTTTATAACTCTTTCTGTTGGACACTGCGTTACTTCATAAACAAGTTACTGATTAAATACTTTCATCTCAGGACACAAGACCTGAAAAATATATTACATATATATTTACTCTTAAAAATGACACTGCGCATGCGCACAATGCACAGGAACGCGGAAGCCTTGAGACGCTACGGGTGATGCTAATGGCTAGCTCCTCCGTTAGCTCCTCCGTTAGCTCCGTTAGCTCGCGGTAAGCAGCGGACATGTCCCTGGACGAGGCGCTGCTGACGCGGGGGCAGGACGTGTACTTCTCCGCGGACAGAGACCTCCAGAGGAACCGGAGGAAGCGGCGGCTCCTGGACTCGCTGTGCCCCAGAGGAGAGCTGCACAGAGCGGGTGAGTGTCTGTGGGTCTGTGGGTGTCTGCAGAGTGGGTGTCTGTGGGTGGGTGTCTGCAGAGTGGGTGTCTGTGGGTGGGTGTCTGCAGAGTGGGTGTCTGTGGGTGTCTGCAGAGTGGGTGTCTGTGGGTGGGTGTCTGTGGGTGGGTGTCTGTGGGTGTCTGCAGAGTGGGTGTCTGTGGGTGTCTGCAGAGTGGGTGTCTGTGGGTGTCTGCAGAGTGGGTGTCTGCAGGTGGGTGTCTGTAGGTGGGTGTCTGCAGAGTGGGTGTCTGCAGAGTGGGTGTCTGTGGGTGTCTGCAGAGTGGGTGTCTGTGGGTGTCTGCAGAGTGGGTGTCTGTGGGTGTCTGCAGAGTGGGTGTCTGTGGGTGTCTGCAGAGTGGGTGTCTGCAGGTGGGTGTCTGTAGGTGGGTGTCTGCAGAGTGGGTGTCTGCAGAGTGGGTGTCTGTGGGTGTCTGCAGAGTGGGTGTCTGTGGGTGTCTGCAGGGTGTCTGCAGGTGGGTGTCTGTAGGTGGGTGTCTGCAGAGTGGGTGTCTGCAGAGTGGGTGTCTGCAGGTGGGTGTCTGTAGGTGGGTGTCTGTGGGTGGGTGTCTGTGGGTGTCTGCAGAGTGGGTGTCTGCAGGTGGGTGTCTGTAGGTGGGTGTCTGTGGGTGGGTGTCTGTGGGTGTCTGCAGGGGGGGTGGGTGTCTGTGGGTGGGTGTCTGCAGAGTGGGTGTCTGCAGGTGGGTGTCTGTGGGTGGGTGTCTGCAGGGTGGGTGTCTGTGGGTGTCTGCAGAGTGGGTGTCTGTGGGTGGGTGTCTGTGGGTGGGTGTCTGTGGGTGTCTGCAGAGTGGGTGTCTGTGGGTGTCTGCAGAGTGGGTGTCTGTGGGTGTCTGCAGAGTGGGTGTCTGCAGGTGGGTGTCTGTAGGTGGGTGTCTGCAGAGTGGGTGTCTGCAGAGTGGGTGTCTGTGGGTGTCTGCAGAGTGGGTGTCTGCAGGTGGGTGTCTGTAGGTGGGTGTCTGTGGGTGGGTGTCTGTGGGTGTCTGCAGGGGGGGTGGGTGTCTGTGGGTGGGTGTCTGCAGAGTGGGTGTCTGCAGGTGGGTGTCTGTGGGTGGGTGTCTGCAGGTGGGTGTCTGTGGGTGGGTGTCTGCAGGGTGGGTGTCTGTGGGTGGGTGTCTGCAGGGTGGGTGTCTGTGGGTGTCTGCAGAGTGGGTGTCTGCAGGGGGGGTGGGTGTCTGTGGGTGGGTGTCTGTAGGTGGGTGTCTGCAGGGTGTCTGTGGGTGGGTGTCTGCAGAGTGGGTGTCTGCAGGGTGTCTGTGGGTGGGTGTCTGCAGGGTGGGTGTCTGTAGGTGGGTGTCTGCAGGGTGTCTGTGGGTGTCTGCAGAGTGGGTGTCTGCAGAGTGTCTGTGGGTGGGTGTCTGTGGGTGTCTGTAGCGGAGCAAACGTCAGTCCCGTGTTTCTCTGATGTGGTGATGACAGGATCATGTGATCAGCTGTGATCCAGGACACTACTGCTCATTCACTTTCTGCAGAAAGAGTCTGTGATAGAAGTGAAACTGACTGAACCATCAGACTCTGAACTGAAACCATGTGTTCTTCTTTTACCAGAGGAGTCTCTGTTGGACTCTGGTCTGAGTGAAGCTGGTTCTTTCACTTCTGTCTGTGCTTTGGTGTGTTACACACATGTGACACACACACATGTTACATGTGACACACACACGTTACATGTGACACACATGTGACACACTTGTTACTTACACACATGTTACATGTGACACACACACATGTTACATGTGACACACACACATGTTACATGTGACATACATGTGAGACACATGTGACACACAAATGTTACATGTGACACACACACGTTACATGTGACACACATGTGACACACTTGTTACTTACACACATGTTACATGTGACACACATGTGTAAATGTCCTTGTGTGTAGAGGTGCCACTGCCGTGTTATTAATTCTTGAATCTTTTGCTAAACGTCTTGTGTGTAAACAGTTCAGATATGATAATAATAAAATATGGCCACAGTGATTGATTTACACACCTCACAGATACTATTATTTCAACAAGTGCTGAAGTGCTCAGGAAAGTTTGTGTAACACAAAGCGTCACAAACGGCTGAGATACAAATGTAAACAATCCTTTCAGCGACCCCACAAAGTAAGAAGGAAACAGCTGCTCATATCGATGCCAAAATGTAACCTCTACATTCATGTCTCAATAACATACAAGGGTCTCTTGTATCGCTCGGTGACCAGAGATCTGAGCTAGAGCAGCGAGTACCAACGAGGACAATGTGGACGACTTGATGAAAAGAGTGACAACACCTGAGGGAGAAGATCGACGACACAAAGAACAGGAGCCGCATGAAGAATGATAGAAAGAGCACATCGCCCTCTTTTAGTGCACGCAGAAAAGCGGGAGTGCCGAGGCCCCGCCAAGTTTCTACACTGTCTGGACAAAACTGAAATACTACGACTGGCCAGGGACAAAAAGGGACTTGAGTACGAGGGGACACGGATCCATATCTACCCCGACTTTAGCGCCGACTTAGTCAAAAAACGAAGATTATTTTTAATCAGTTGTGTAAATATATTGAAGAAAATGGTATTAACATGGTCACACTCTGGATCCAGGCCTCATCAACAACTACAGCACAATTACAATTTACAAATGTTTTTACAGCTTTTGATCATGGGAAACCTACTGGTGCCATTGTCATTGATTTCTCTAAAGCATTTGACACCGAGGACCACTGTTTATTATTAGATAAGCTTTACTCAGTGGGATTAGACAGATTATGGTTTAACTGGTGTCTACGACAACAATATGTGACAAAACAGTCATGGAGAAAGGAGTGCCCCAAGGCTCTTCACTGGGTCCACTCCTTTTCTCTTTATTAACGAACTGCCCAAAGTGTGCTCTTCCTCAAACGTTCATCTACAGCAGGGGTGTCATTCATACGGCCCGCCAAGAGATTTGACACGGCCCGCGGCTCATTTATGTAAAAATATAATAATAATACATTTTAAAAAGCCGCTCCGCGACGCGAGGCGACGCCGCAGCGCCGCGCTCAGGGGTGAGTCCAGTGCGTCTGTAGTGGCTCCACCAGAGCGGTGCTGGAGGAATAACATCTTAAACTACAAGACTCGGCGAAAAATACGGCACTTTGAGCGGAGAATTGAGAAAACAGAAGATAAACCTGTCTGGCCCTGAAGACACAGCAGTCTGTTTGTGCCCAGAGCGAGAGGTTAGTTCTGCTGCTGTAAAGGGAAGCTACCTGTGCTAACAACATTAGCATTAGCATCGCAGCCGCACAGTGAGAGAAAACTTTGTTTGTTAAAACTCTCACAGGCTGCAGACATGGTCTGAGAAACCACTCGCTTTTACCAACATGTTGCCATCGATAAGAGACTGATGTTACTGATGTCACATATTCATTTGTGGTGTTACTGAAACTATCAGAGGAGTTTTGAGCGCTGCTGCTGGTACTGCTGCTGGTTCTGCTGTTGTTGCTGGTGTGTTGGACAGTGTGGACGGGTACCGATGGTAAAAACAGGTGTAGTGACAAAGCTGCAAATGGAGGTGATGATTTTTGGACATTTGACTGTGTTTTACACAGAGACACTGCTGCAGTCGTTAAGAATGGATCACGTTATGGAAGTTGTTTTATTCATTTCAACGGAATCATGGTCAGTTTGATGTTTTCTCTGTGATAATAACATAACCATGGACCTTACCACACTGAAGATGGTTAATGTGATAATAACATAACCATGGACCTTACCACACTGAAGATGGTTAATGTGATAATAACATAACCATGGACCTGACCACACTGAAGATGGTTAATGTGATAATAACATAACCATGGACCTTACCACACTGAAGATGGTTAATGTGATAATAACATAACCATGGACCTTACACACTGAAGATGGTTAATGTGATAATAACATAACCATGGACCTGACCACACTGAAGATGGTTAATGTGATAATAACATAACCATGGACCGTACCACACTGAAGATGGTTAATGTGATAATAACATAACCATGGACCGTACCACACTGAAGATGGTTAATGTGATAATAACATAACCATGGACCTTACTGAAGATGGTTAATGTGATAATAACATAACCATGGACCGTACACACTGAAGATGGTTAATGTGATAATAACATAACCATGGACCTTACCACACTGAAGATGGTTAATGTGATAATAACATAACCATGGACCTTACCACACTGAAGATGGTTAATGTGATAATAACATAACCATGGACCGTACCACACTGAAGATGGTTAATGTGATAATAACATAACCATGGACCTTACCACACTGAAGATGGTTAATGTGATAATAACATAACCATGGACCTTACCACACTGAAGATGGTTATTGTGATAATAACATAACCATGGACCTGACCACACTGAAGATGGTTAATGTGATAATAACATAACCATGGACCTTACCACACTGAAGATGGTTAATGTGATAATAACATAACCATGGACCTTACCACACTGAAGATGGTTAATGTGATAATAACATAACCATGGACCGTACCACACTGAAGATGGTTAATGTGATAATAACATAACCATGGACCTTACACACTGAAGATGGTTAATGTGATAATAACATAACCATGGACCTTACCACACTGAAGATGGTTAATGTGATAATAACATAACCATGGACCTTACCACACTGAAGATGGTTAATGTGATAATAACATAACCATGGACCGTACCACACTGAAGATGGTTAATGTGATAATAACATAACCATGGACCTTACCACACTGAAGATGGTTAATGTGATAATAACATAACCATGGACCTTACCACACTGAAGATGGTTAATGTGATAATAACATAACCATGGACCGTACCACACTGAAGATGGTTAATGTGATAATAACATAACCATGGACCTTACCACACTGAAGATGGTTAATGTGATAATAACATAACCATGGACCTTACCACACTGAAGATGGTTAATGTGATAATAACATAACCATGGACCTGACCACACTGAAGATGGTTAATGTGATAATAACATAACCATGGACCTTACCACACTGAAGATGGTTAATGTGATAATAACATAACCATGGACCTTACCACACTGAAGATGGTTAATGTGATAATAACATAACCATGGACCGTACCACACTGAAGATGGTTAATGTGATAATAACATAACCATGGACCTTACCACACTGAAGATGGTTAATGTGATAATAACATAACCATGGACCTTACCACACTGAAGATGGTTAATGTGATAATAACATAACCATGGACCTTACCACACTGAAGATGGTTAATGTGATAATAACATAACCATGGACCGTACCACACTGAAGATGGTTAATGTGATAATAACATAACCATGGACCTGACCACACTGAAGATGGTTAATGTGATAATAACATAACCATGGACCTTACACACTGAAGATGGTTAATGTGATAATAACATAACCATGGACCTTACCACACTGAAGATGGTTAATGTGATAATAACATAACCATGGACTGTACCACACTGAAGATGGTTAATGTGATAATAACATAACCATGGACCTTACACACTGAAGATGGTTAATGTGATAATAACATAACCATGGACCTTACCACACTGAAGATGGTTAATGTGATAATAACATAACCATGGACTGTACCACACTGAAGATGGTTAATGTGATAATAACATAACCATGGACCTGACCACACTGAAGATGGTTAATGTGATAATAACATAACCATGGACCTTACACACTGAAGATGGTTAATGTGATAATAACATAACCATGGACCGTACCACACTGAAGATGGTTAATGTGATAATAACATAACCATGGACTGTACCACACTGAAGATGGTTAATGTGATAATAACATAACCATGGACCGTACCACACTGAAGATGGTTAATGTGATAATAACATAACCATGGACTGTACCACACTGAAGATGGTTAATGTGATAATAACATAACCATGGACCTTACCACACTGAAGATGGTTAATGTGATAATAACATAACCATGGACCGTACCACACTGAAGATGGTTAATGTGATAATAACATAACCATGGACCTGACCACACTGAAGATGGTTAATGTGATAATAACATAACCATGGACTGTACCACACTGAAGATGGTTAATGTGATAATAACATAACCATGGACCGTACCACACTGAAGATGGTTAATGTGATAATAACATAACCATGGACTGTACCACACTGAAGATGGTTAATGTGATAATAACATAACCATGGACCTGACCACACTGAAGATGGTTAATGTGATAATAACATAACCATGGACCGTACCACACTGAAGATGGTTAATGTGATAATAACATAACCATGGACCTGACCACACTGAAGATGGTTAATGTGATAATAACATAACCATGGACCGTACCACACTGAAGATGGTTAATGTGATAATAACATAACCATGGACCTTACCACACTGAAGAGGTTAATGTGATAATAACATAACCATGGACCTTACACACTGAAGATGGTTAATGTGATAATAACATAACCATGGACCTTACCACACTGAAGATGGTTAATGTGATAATAACATAACCATGGACCTTACACACTGAAGATGGTTAATGTGATAATAACATAACCATGGACCTTACCACACTGAAGATGGTTAATGTGATAATAACATAACCATGGACCTTACCACACTGAAGATGGTTAATGTGATAATAACATAACCATGGACTTTACCACACTGAAGATGGTTAATGTGATAATAACATAACCATGGACCGTACCACACTGAAGATGGTTAATGTGATAATAACATAACCATGGACCTTACCACACTGAAGATGGTTAATGTGATAATAACATAACCATGGACCTTACCACACTGAAGATGGTTAATGTGATAATAACATAACCATGGACCTTACCGCACTGAAGATGGTTAATGTGATAATAACATAACCATGGACCTTACACACTGAAGATGGTTAATGTGATAATAACATAACCATGGACCTTACCACACTGAAGATGGTTAATGTGATAATAACATAACCATGGACCTGACCACACTGAAGATGGTTAATGTGATAATAACATAACCATGGACCTTACCACACTGAAGATGGTTAATGTGATAATAACATAACCATGGACCTGACCACACTGAAGATGGTTAATGTGATAATAACATAACCATGGACCTTACACACTGAAGATGGTTAATGTGATAATAACATAACCATGGACCTTACACACTGAAGATGGTTAATGTGATAATAACATAACCATGGACTTTACCACACTGAAGATGGTTAATGTGATAA